GTTGGTCTCCTATCCGACCGCGTGCACCTTGCCAGCCGTCCTCTTGTCCGTTGCTACCGGAGTTGCCTTCACGGTAAATGCTGCCGCATCATCTTCTACTCGGATGTGTTCGTTGATGCGCTGCATTAGTTGGCCCATGGATGTTGGTTGGTGCATGGTAAGCGAGTCCCGCAGTCTATGTCCGACCGGGGACCACGCTTATATTGTGTGATTGCCAGGTTGACCGGACAATCCAAGATCTCATTAAAGGTTTCCTAGTATCTAGAGTTGTATGCCTTGAGTGTGTCACTCGGCTCCATCTTGACACTAAGAAGGTGGTCAACTTCCTTTGGCGTTCTGGTGTTGGTTTTGAAACGCGTCACAAAGGCTTCCGCCAACTGTTGCCACCTTTCGATGCTCCCCTCCGGCTATCTCTCAAACCATTTCAAGCCCAGCTTGCCCAAACTTGATGGGAAGATAAGGCACATAAGAGCATTCCGCCTATGTCTGGCCATGACCTGTCGAAAGTGGCTTACATACATGTATGGATCGGTCTTTCCGTCGTAGAGCGTGAACTTTGGCTGGTGGAAGCCTGCGAGAAGCGGTGTTGTTTCTATCTCCAGGAAGAAAGGAGTGGCGTTTAGCCTCGCCAAATCCGTGTCTGGAGGAGGAGGCACAGTTAGGCGGGGTGGAGGCATTACGACCTCTTCACTGGCGCTACCCCTATAGGATAATCGCTGGAAAGCCTGTACCCTCTGAGTCTCTCGCCGGCGAGCCCGCTCCTTCAAGACTTCTCGCAAATCCTCTGAACGAGCGGAGTAGGAGTACCCTGACGTCGTCGCCAGACGTGAGGGTTGGTAAGTGCTATCATGCGCGCTAGATTTCTCTACGGGCGCGTCGGAATCTCCAACCTTGTAACTTCTGGTGATTGAGAGGGACGGAGTGTGCCGTTGGCTCTGACTGCCTGAACGGCGGGGTTGGGTGCGCTCACTGTGGTCTCCCACTCCAGCTACACCCTTCCCTTTGACATGTCGCTTAAGATCCTCCATCTCCGCCTCCATTCTCCGGATGATGGCTTCTTGGTCCCTTAGCTTGTGTTCCAGATATCTGGCGTGCGATTCTCTCCACCGTCGATGACCATCTGGACTCCGAGAATGACCAAAGCTTTTTCCGCGCTTATCCCGCGCATCTCTTGAATGTCCTCTTGGAGAAGTCTCCAGGTCTGCCATCGGAGGAATGACGGGGTGTCCTTCTCTCCGTCTGGCTGACTCCGGGGTAACTCCGTCGATGGCGGACAACGGAATCTCTTCGTTGTTCGCCATGGACGGCGATCAGATGAGCTGGGAAGACAAGGTTTTGTCTATCAACTTCCCATAGACGGCGCCAATTATACGGGGAGCAAATATTCAGGCGAGCCCGTACTCCTTTCTTCCAAGCTCCCTATCTGTCCGATTGACTTGTGAACACAACGGCGGTGAGCTACCCGGCGGGGCGTGGCCGGAAAACCCCTCAAACGGTCAAGTTAGCACACACTCAGGGATAGAGAGAGAAAGAGGAGAGTGAGTTGAATGTCTAAGTGTATCTCACCAAATGATCATCTGCCTCAGCATGGGGGGCGCAAACACGCTTATATACCTTCTGCGTCCCAAATCTACTCACATTAGTCTCTCGACACGTGGTGCTGCTATCCCATCTGTCAGTACAAATCCAGCAATCACCACCTAACCAAATTGTCAGGATATCCTGGTGAAGCCCGGCAAACCGGCAGAATCACCTCGGCCTCACACGGCCGTGCTGCGCCGCATGCCTGAATGTTCACTAGCCGAGCTCCATACCGACCGAGCTCAGTTGCATTTCGGCATAGCCGAGCTCAAAATAGGTTATGCGGGTAAAACAAAGGCCTTCCTGCCGAGCTAAAGGTGCGAGTCTTCCTACCGAGCAACGAAAGTAGCACGGTTCCCACTTGTGCAAGTTCAAGTAGCTCAGTCTTGGGCTTTAGCCGAGCAGCCCCATCTCCGTGCTAGCCCAAAGCTATCCTGGCCTACACGCGCTTGGCCTTCAACTTGCCCGGCCTTTACCATGGCCCATTTTCAGCTCATAAAATCTCCCTCTCAATTAGTCTTATAGCCATTCCTAAGCATGAAGGAATCAAATTTCTCATGCCACTGTTTAGGAGCTGGTTTTAAACTATAGAGGGATTTAGTTAGCTTACACACCTTACTTTCTTGGCTAGGCTCCACAAAGCCTTTGGATTGGTCCATGTAAATCTCCTCATCTAGATCTTCATTTAAAAATGCGGTTTTCAAATCTATTTGATGAATTTTTAAATCATAAATTGCAGCTATTGCTATCAATAGTCTAATGGATGTAACTCTAGTAACTGGAGAAAAAGTATCAAAGAAATCAAGATCAACTTGTTGCTTAAAACCTTTAGCGACGAGCCTCGCTTTATATTTATTTATAGTTCAATCCGGTTTAAGTTTTTTACGAAGGACCCATTTACACCCAATAGTTTTACAACCTGGAGGTAAATCCACTAACTTCTATGTTTTATTTGAAAATAGTGAATTTATCTCATCATTTACAACCTCTCTCTAGAAAATAGCATCAAGTGATGATAAAGCTTTTTGCATCGTAATAGGAATTTCTTTCACATTGTAAAGATAATAGTTAGGGCTAAAATCTTTTTCAACTCTAGCTCGTTTACTTCTTCTTGGTTGGATTTGAAAATTTTCTTGTTCTTGAAAAACTTGAGATGGAGTAGAAAAACTAGACATAGATAAAATATTTTCAGAAATTACTTGACCCCCATTATTTCTAGATTTGAAAGAAAATTTATTTTCATGAAAAATAGCATCATCTGATTCAAAAATAATATTATTTTCCATATCAAAAAATCTATAAGCTGTACTATGCAATACATATCCAAGAAAAGCACAAGTGGTAGCTCAGTTACCCAATTTAGGTCGTTTAAGATCTGCAAGCCTCACAAAAGCTAAACAACCCCAAACCCTCAAATAACCTAGATTTGGTTTATGCCTCTGCCACAACTCATAAGGTATAATTTTAATCTTTTTGTGTGACACTCTATTTATCACATGGTAAGTTGTCAAAATAGCCTCGCCCCAAAGATTTGACGGCGCACCTGAATCAGTAAGCACAACATTCGTCAAGTCAATTAACGTTCTATTTTTTCTTTCAACTACGCCATTAGATGAAGGTGAATATGGTGGAGTAGTCTCATGAATAATTCCCAATGAATGAACGAAAGAGTTGAATCCAAGAGATTCATACTCCCGACCTCTATCACTTCTAATTCTCTTAATCTTTTTACCGAATTGATTTTCCACTTCAAGAAGAAATTCTTTAAATTTCTCAAAAGCATCACTTTTATTTTTTTAATAAATATACGTTTGTGTATTTTGAAAAATCATCAATAAAAGTGATAAAATATCGGTTACCACCCCAAATTAAAATTCTTTCAAACTCACACAAATCAGTATGAAATAATTCTAGCAATTCGGTATTTTTTTCAACACTTTTATGAGGCCTCTTGGTAATTTTTAATTTACTGCAAACTTTGCATTTCTAATTTTTTTTTATCACTTTAGGAATTAATCCTAGACTACTTATGATTCCCACATATTTACTGTTAATATGACACAAGCGAGCATTTCAAAAATTAATAGAATACAAAGTGTAAGTGGTGTCATAGTAATAATCATAAATTAAATTAGCAAGGCAATTTAAGAGATAAAAATGACATTTATACTCATCTGTATTGTAAGAAGCCACTTTTGCTTCATGTGCCTCATAATCTTCATCATTCATCTCCTCGGTTGGGATTTTGTTTGGCTTCTTCTCAATAAGAACATAAGCAACTTTCAAAAGGCTGAGGTAAACAAGAACTTTTCATTGCCACCTCTTAAAATGAACTCCCTTGAACTTGAAAGGCTTGTTGAGATCTCCAATTCCATCATTGGTTTTTTCTGACACTTGTTCCACGGTTGATCTCCTTACAATTGTTGGTGAAAATACCAGAACAAATTATATTTTATTGATAAATAATGCAAAGAAAATGAGATATAAATAGATCAAGCTGAGGCACGGATATCTTGTTTTCTTTAAGGAGATCAAGCCCACTGCGATAGGAAGAATCCAAATACCCATGCAGCAGCCATAAAACTATGACTTGTCCCCTTTAGGATACAACAGCCCGACCACTTGTCGTATAGTTCAGGCCAACTCTGCATAAGATGGTGAACCCAAAGCTCTACCAAGAAAAATACCATTCTTTGCTAGTAAACTCTCAAATATAAATAATAGTTGGTGTGTTGGTGTAGAAAAGAGTAGATGAGAGAAACTATTTATAGGCTACTAGGACTTTACAAAATACACCAAAAAATAATAATGACCATGAACCTAGAGAAAAGGGAGAGTCTCCAAAAAATTAATTCACCACCAAGTTCATGAACTCCAATTAATCTCCATTCATGAACAAGACAAAAGAAGATTCATGAACATATATATATATATATATATATATAAATAAATAAAAGATATTAAAATGATCCAACACAAAGTATCAACAAATAACAATTCTAAGTATACCAATGATCTTACTAAGTCTTGGTGGGTCATCCAAATCCCACAAGGAAGAGGTTCAAATCCCTAACCTAGAAATTTCATGCACAATAAATCATAAATCACATAGGCTCAGGGCCCAGGGGGCAGTGGCAAGGGTCTAAATAACTTTCCTAATGCCAAAATTAAATTATGGTGTTTATCAAATTGGATGTCAAAAATTTTCTGATACACTTTCAATTGATAGCCTCCAAGTCTGATTAAGTACCTTTACTCATGGTGAAGATGGTTGTCCTTCGACAAGTTAATTTCCTACAAGGTTACTTATTAAGAGTGAAATAGAGATGGAGCAAGGACGTTCAATGTAGAGAGGAGTTTGGAACCTAGTAATACAGAGGAGAAGAGTGGGTAGTTAGAATGGATCTCGGAAGGAGGCGATGATTGTTACGATATTCGTTAATAACATTCCAGATTCCACGGGTCCTAAAGGATTGTTCAATCTATTTCAGAAGTTTGGCTTAGTGAAAGATGTGTTTATTCCAGGGAAGAGAAGGAAAACATCAAGATCTAGATTTGGGTCTATAAGAAATGATTGCAAGGTGGCTGCTGGGATAACGATACAGAAGGCAAATGGGTTGTGGTGCGATAATAAGGAGTTGAGGGTCAAAAGAGCAGAGTTTGAAAAACCTCAAAGAGTTGGTCAATCGGAGCAAATGGGGCAGAACAGAGGTGAAGATGGAAGAAGGATGGGTTAGGGGTTCCAGATGTAGCAGGGGCTGGGAAGTGGAAACAAGAAGACTTATGCGGATGTAGTAGCAAGGGGAAGTGCCAAAGTGGGTGCCCAGGTGATAATAAAAGTTACTGAAGAAGGCAATGGCTGGCGGTATGAAAGCTAAGTAGTTCAGCTGAGCAGCTTTTTAGCTTTTAAGGATTTTAGAGCGGAACTTTGGAAAAGAGTGATACAGGATGTGGTTACAAGAGAGGGGGCTGGGTGTATAGTCTTGTTAACCTTCCCCTCAGCACAACACATGTAGGTTAGAAAGGAACAACTAGAAGGGTGAGGAAGGCAATGGTTTGATTCAATTGAAGAATGGGGGAAAGGTCAATTTGTGGAGCAAGAGAGGTGCGTCTGGTTGATTTGTCTTGGCATTTCCATAAACCTCTGGAGTGTTACAACTGTTCGAAACATTGGTAGTTATTGGGGGGTGGTAACTCAGTTCAAAGAAGATTTTAATGATCCACAAAATTTCCAGCAAGCTAAGGTTAGAGTGGTAACAAAGTGCATGGAGATGATCAATGAGACAATATTTTTGGAGCATAAAGGTAAGCACATTCCAGTTAGGGTTTGTGAAGAAGTCCCTAGTTGTTTAATTCCGAATCCAAGTAGCAGTAGAAGTATGCAACATCAACAGCTGCACTCTAATGCAAAAGGAGGGGCATATTAGTTGTCCGACAATGGTGGTAGTTACAAGAGTGAAGAGCAAGCTTCTTCAGAAAAAGAAAAGGATGGTGTAGATGGGTGTGATGATGTTAGTAGGGTGTTGGAAACAGAGATGGCCAGATCAGATGAGCACGGTATAGGAAATGATGACAAGTGTGCATTAGCTACAGTTGGTATAGAGGGTGGAATGAGGAATGACATAGAAGGTGCAGTTGCTAGAGAGAGTGACATGGGGATTGGCCTAGCAGGTGCATGCTCTAGAGAGAAGGGGCTGGTGCAGAAAGTCATGTCTCAGCAGATAATGATGAATAAAGTTCATGAGTTGGAAGATGATATATACACTGGGGGTCTTTTAAAAGAGCTGAGTGGGCTAGTGTGTGCAAGGAATAATATAAGTCTAGAAGTTCTACTTGAAGGCATGCAGGTTGGGCCTGAGCCCAGTGGGCCAAATAAGGGGGTGGGGTCGTATCTTAGTGATTGTGTGGCCCAGACCCAAGTTAGACCAACTCTGGCCCAAACCATCCACACGGCTATGCCAAATAGGGCTGGTCAAGGAAGAAAATTCAAGGAAGCAGCAGCAAAAAGAGGATGTATTTCAGGGAAAAAGGGTAGTGAACAAATTAGGGGTATCAATATAGTTGGTGGACATATGAAACAAAAAGGCAGGATAGGTAGGCTTGGCTTCCAGAGAGGGGCCATCTTCAGAGCCTCAGCAGTGGCTGCAGCCAATTCATTGTCTATTTCCCAAGATCAGACCCTGAAAAGAAGGAGTAACCTTGTTGAGGAGGCCCAGATAACAGTGAAGGTTGGTGTATTACTGGGAATGCAGTGTAAAGGCCAAGAAGAGGAGGTAGTGTCCAAACTAGTAGAATTGGAAGAGAATAATTTGGGGAAAATTACAGTTGAAGCATCTGCAATCAGGTCATAGTTGGTTGCTAAAAAGGGGTTTAGGTTTAAGTTGTGATGGTTATTATGAAGATCTTATCATGGAATGTCAGAGGGCTGAGTAGGCCAGAAAAATGAGGAAAATAAAGAGACTAGTGGGGAAAGGGTATAGGTGTATTGCTAATACAAGAAACTAAAAGAAGCTCGATGGATGATAGTTTTGTCAAAACAATCTAGCCCTTTGAGGAGATGGAGTTTATGCAGATAGAAGCAGATGGAAGTGCTGGTGGTATACTGTGTGTTTGGAAACCTCAGGTTTTTGAGCTTCAGAATTATTGCAGTAATAAGAACTTCATCATTCTATCAGGTATAACTTGTAGTTCTTTTCCATATGTTATTGTTAATGTTTATGCCCCAAATGAGGTTGTGAGGAGGAGCCAAATTTGGGAATATTTGGTGAGTATTAAACAACACTTACCATTACCCTAGTGTGTGGGAGGGGACTTTAATGAAGTCAGGTATATGAGTGAGAGAAAGGGCTGCTCTAGAAGAGAGAGGGGAATGTCAGATTTCAATGAGTTTATAGATAAGTTGGAAGTGATTGACATGCCTATGTTAGGCAGACAGTACACATGGTGTAATGCTGTGGAAGGAGACAAGTGGTGCAGGATAGATAGATTTCTGGTAGATCCAATGTGGTTGAAGAAGTTTGCCATAAAACAATGGGGATTATCTAGAACAATTTCAGACCATTGTCCAATATTGCTCAAAGAGGATGATAGAGATTGGGGTCCAAAGCCCTTTAAATTCATCAATGCTTGGAGATCACATCCTACGTTCATGGCTGAAGTTAAAAACTGGTGAGAGGGCACTCAAGTGCATGGTTGGGCAGGGTATAGAGTCATGAGAAAGTTGAGTAGTTTGAGGGATCATCTGAGGGTTTGGAACAAGGCAGTGTTTGGCAATATAGACTCCCTACTAAAGTCTGCTGAGGAGGTGCTACATGAATGGGATCTAAAGGTTGAATCCAAGTCCTTGACTGGTCTAGAAATTAAAAGAATAAGAGAAGCCAGATCTAAGGTGTGGCAGCTTAACAGAAACAAGGAGAGGTTGTGGCACCAAAAATCCAGGATGGAGTGGGTTAGATTTGGGGATAGAAATACAAGGTTTTTTTTACATTATGGCAAACAGTAGGCAAAGAAAGAATATGTTATACTCAGTTTTGGTGGATGAGGTGAGGTTAGAGGATCCAGTGCTGGTAAAACAGGAGGCGGTTAGGCACCTTTTTTTTTTTGAACGGCAAAGAAAATCTTTATTGATGAATAAAGAGGAGCTTCAGAATACATCAATAAAGAGGAGCTTGGAGCTAAAAAAAAAGCTCCAAGCGCCAGTTGGAGAGGAACCAACAAGGAGCAAGAGAAAGACAAACTAATAGAGAACTGAAAGATAAACTAGTCTAAACTGATAGAAAAACTGAAAAGTAAACTGATAGATAAACTGAGCTAAGAAGCCAAACTGATAGATAATCTGATAGGAGCCAAAACTGATAGTAGTAGCCAAACTGACAGCCAAACTGTCTACCCATATCTGATTATAACAGCATTTCAGCCAAACTGTCTAAGCAGCCATTCTGATCCATACCATCAACAATTACTGTAACACAACTTCGTTAACAGTTTAACCAACTGTAGAGGAGCTGATGCATCAGTGATCACAACAGTAAAATGCAAATTAACAATAGATTCAGACCTAAACAGAGCCAGAATAGAGCACCAAGGAAGAACAGACTAATGCAGCAGACAGCAGAGCCAAACTGATAGCCAAACTGCCTTCCAGCAAGGAAGAACAAACAAAAATAGTAGTAAGGAAGATCAAACTGAGCCCCTGATCTGCTTCCACTTAAAGACTATATCATCCACTGAGAAGGGGAAATCCTTGACTAATGCTTTGAGCCAGAGGACAGATCTAAATTTGATGAGATCCAACAGTCTAGAAAAATTGGGCTGAGCCTTAGAAAAGACACAATCATTCCTATGCTTCCAAAGAGACCACAATATGACTAAGGGGAGGGCTCTCCAAATTATTCTAACATACTTCTGAAATTTCTCACTCATCCACCAATGAAATAAACCAGCTACTGAATTTGAAATGCACCATTGAAGACCCCATTCTTGAATCATTGAAGACCAAATCAACCAAGAGAAAGGACAATGGAGCAAGACATGGATATTAGTTTTAGGTTCAAAATTACAAAATGGACAGAATATCGAAGTACTGCTATCAAGTATGCCAATCTTGTGCAAGAACTCTGAGGATTTCACTTTATTTTTCTAGGCTAGCCAGCAAAAGAAGGAGACTTTTGGGGGCAACAAAGAGCTCCAAACCTGCTTGCAAATTCTTAGATTAAGGCCAAGGAGGGAAGTGCTGTAAGCATATAGGTCAGATACAAAGAACTAATTATGGGCAGTAGCATCATTAGACCATATCAGGTAATCTGCATTTTCATTACATAAAGGAGGAGCAGAGGATAAAACTGCAATCAGATTAGCTTCTTCAATCAATTCCCAATCATACAATTCTCTTATATGCGGAAAGTTCCAGACACATGAGCTGGTTTTCCTGGCAAAGAAGTGGTGGAGAGAGCCTTCTTTATCAGTTGAGAGGTTAAAGAGAATTGGAAAATCAGATTTCAGGCAAATATCACCACACCATCTATCAGTCCAAAACTTAATTCTATTCCTATTCCCTACTTTAATTAGACAATTGGCCAAAAAGAAATTAAAGATGGAGTTGCTGGAGGCCCTAATGGATAAGATGTCACTCCATATTCTAGAGTGCTTATAAGAGGGCCTTACAGGAGGATGCCAACAGTCCTCAATAATCTTGTATTTGCTGCAAATTACTCTCCTCCAAAGAGCATTGATTTGGGTCCCAAATTTCCACCACCATTTAAGTAGTAAACAAGAATTTACATCTCTGATTTTTCTGATGCCCAGACCCCCTTGGTCAATACTTTTTGTAGCCTCCACCCACTTTACCAAATGTACTTTCCTTTTAAGATTATTGCCACCCCACAGGAATGCAGCCTTAATCTTTTCCAGCTCTCTAGCCACACCTTCAAGCATTTTAAACAGGGAAAGGAAGTAGACCGGTAAGCTTGAAAGTGTAGACTTAATCAAGGTTAGTCTGCCTGCAAATGATAATAACTTTCTCTTCCACCCTGACAGTTTAGATTTGATGTTATCAAGGACAGGCTTCCATGTAGATTTCCTACCAGGATTGGCTCATAATGGTAGTCCCAGGAATTTTAAAGGGAGGCTCTGCACCTTGCAGTTGAGAAGATTAGCAAAGGAAAGCATAAGATCATCAGTTACACCAATACCACACACAACACTCTTATGATAGTTGATTTTGAGACCGGATAGTACTTCAAAACATCTGAGAATTCTTTTGACTAACACTAATTGATCCCAGTGAGCTTCACAAAAGAGAATTGAATCATCAGCAAATTGCAAATGTGAAACACGAACATTATTAGCTCCAACTAGCACACCTTTAAGGATGCCAAGGTTAAGTGCTCTAGTTAGGAGAATGTTAAGCCCTTCAGCCATTATGTTAAACAAAAGAGGGGAGAGTAGGTCACCCTGCCGAAGACCTCGTTGGGGTGAGAACTCCTCAGTAGGAGATCCATTTACTAAAATGGAGATTCTTGATGTAGTCACACAAGCTTTCATCCAAGAGACCCATTGAACCCCAAAGCCAAAGTTAATCATCATGGAGAATAGGAATTCTCAATTTATAGAATCAAATGCTTTCTCGAAATCCAGCTTGAGGATCAACCCTTGCTTCTTGGTCTTCTTCCATCCATCCACTACTTTATTAGCAATTAACACCCCATCGAGAATATATCGCCCACCTATGAAGGCTGTTTGGGTTTCACCAATTATGGAGGGAAGCACTAACTTCAATCTGTGTGCTAAAACTTTGGCTAAGATTTTGTAAATAGAACCCACAAGACTTATGGGCCTATAATCTGATAAGCCAATGGGATTTTCTAGCTTGGGGATAAGGGTAATGAAGGTGCTGTTAATGCCATAAGTGAGTTTGCTGTTGGAGTGAAATTCCTTAAAAAATTGCACAAGCTCTTGTTTCATAACCATCCAAAACTTTTGAAAACCTAGCAAGTTGAATCCATCAGGGCCTAGAGCTTTGTTGTTGTTGCATTCTTTGATTGCTGCCAAAATCTCTGCAGCACTGAACTCAGGTACAAGATGGTAAGAGACAAGATCAGCCGCAATAGTTGTTAACTCCCCACCTAGAGTCTCATCACCCATGATTCAGTGAATTGAGTCTTGAAGTGTTGAAGTACCTCATGCCTGACCCTGCTAGGATCCTCAAAAATCACACCATTAACTGTAATAGAGTTTATTAGATTTCGACTCTGCCTGGAGCTAGCAACAACATGGAAGAATCTAGTATTTCTATCTCCATGAAGAGTCCAATTCACTCTGGACTTTTGATGCCATGACCATTCTAGCATTCTATAAAGCTTCCATATTTCACTTCTAACCACATTTCTTCTTGCCTTTTCCAAATTCTGCAAAGCCCTCTCCTCTGCTTCAATGTCCAAAGCATGTATCTCTTCCTCAAAGGCCTTGAGTTTTAAAGAAATGTTTCCAAACACCTCAGTGTTCCAGGCTTTAAGAGTCAACTTAAGGTGTTTGAGTTTTTGAACAAGAATATACCCAGACCACCCAGAAAAGGTAGCATTTGTCCAGGAGGAAACAAAAAGCTGGGGAAAAGTAGGGTGAAGAGTCCAAGCATTTGAGAACCTGAAAGGTTTGGGGCCCCAATCTCTGTCATCCTCTTTCATCAACAGAGGGCAGTGATCTGAAATTAACCTGGGCAACCCCCATAATTTCATTGAAAAGTTGATCAACCACTCAGGACTGAGCAAGATTCTATCTATTCTGCTCAATTTCTCTGATTCTTGAGCATCGCACTAAGTGAATTTCCTACCATGGAGAGGTAAATTAGTGAGTTCGCTTTTTTCAATAAACTCATTTAGATGCCTCATTCCCCTATCTCTCCTGGAGCATCCTAACCTTTCACCCATATGCCTGATTTCATTGAAGTCACCCCCCAAGCACCAAGGATTAGGGAAAGGGACTTTGAGCTTTATAAGATTGTCCCCAAAAATGGATCTGTTGTTGACTTCATTAGGAGCATAGATGTTAAGCAACACACAATTAAAAGAATTATATAGGGAACCAGATAACAAGATGTACCTCCTACTACAGCAGTAACCAGAGACTTGAAATACATCAGGGTCCCAAATACATAATAACCCCCCAGCTGTTCCTTCAGGATCAACAGACATATAATCCATATTTCTACAACCCCAGAGTCTTCTAGTAGTAATTTCAGACACCACTGCCTTCTTGGTCTCTTGAAAAAAGGCAACATCTATGTGTCTATCTTGTAGTAGTTTTTTTATTCTACCTTGCTTTTCAGCCTTTCCTAACCCCCTAATATTCCAAGATAGAAGCTTCATGAGGAAACAAATGCTGCACTCAAAATCACCCATCTGCAGCAGCTTACTACTATGCCTTTCCACCCTGGTTAATCTTCTCCTTATCCTTTAGTTCTAGATCAACAATCCTGCTGAGGACAACATCTTCTTTCCCATTGTATTGGATACCAAGAGTTTCCCCCAATTTTAGAGTGGCTTTGGCTTCGGTGAGTAGATAGTTGTTCAAAGGCGTAGCTCCCTCAGATAGATCTGATTGTGCAAAGGTAGCTGTTGCTGGCCTAAAGATGGCAGATTTAGATTGCTTGCTAACTGCAGCTGATGTGAAGGCATGAAGCCTAGCGAAGCTTGTAAACCCCTCTAGATGAGACTTCATCTTCCTTTTTTGCTTCTCTTTTCGCAGTAGAAGATTAGAGGAAGCAGATGGTGAATATTGGCTAGAACAATGTTGGGTTAAAATACTTTTCCCATAAGGGCCCTTTTTTATCAAAGGCCCTGAAGACTGTAAATCAGTGTTACATAGGGCTGGAATACCCTTACCTCCTGGGCTGGCATCAGTATGCTCAATGGACTTAGAAGGAAGATCAGTAATTGGGTTCTTATTCTTATTGGGTAGCTGGGCCAGGACCACTTCCAAATTGATGCTGGGCCCAAAACCTTCACTAGATCCATTAAGACTCCGAATAAACCCAGGTGAGAAAACTTTCTCTACACCCCTTAGGCTGTCATCATTGTTTTCCTTTCTATGCACTGACTTTTCCATCAGAGGCTCCTTGATGCATGCATCATCTCTGCTGGAGCCGGCTTCGCAAGCTGTCTCCTCAACAACCGTGTCCAGTTCCTTACCTAATTGACAGTCAATAGGCTCCTTTTTCTGTATTTTCTCCTGGGTACAAGCAAGCCCAGTGCCAAACGAGGCACTATCTTTTGCCACCTCATCATCATCTTCTTTGCCCCTCCCTTCCATCTCTGGTTTGTTTCTTGTCTCAACACTGCAGCAGGTTTCAATGAAACTGTACTCATCTATGACAGTAGAGTCAGGCACAAGTTCCTCACACACCAGGATAGAATGTGTTTTGCCCTTACAGTCCAAGGTCAAAGTTTTATTAATGAACTCCATCGATGGGGTTGCCACTCGAATTCTTATATGAGAGAAGGATTTGGGATGACACACATCCCCGTCCAAGTTAAGCACCGAGCCCTAAACACTACCAATGTTGTTGAAAGTGTTTCTATTCCATACGTTCAAAGGTTTGCCATAACATCGCAACCATACACATCTTTCTGGTTGCAGATAGAATCCGGGCTTCCATTCCACCACAAATTGGCTCCAATCTTTGAACCACTCTTTGATATGCCCAATGTGTGAGTGCAGCTCCTTCTGAGAGTTGAAAGTTAAGAGTACATCACGACCTCCCTCTTTTCTGACCATGATCTGTTCCAGCCCTTTCTCCTTCAGAGCTTTGAGAATGATGTGAGTGGAATATTCAGCTTTAAGATGAATTATGGCACTATCGTAGAGCCATCCATGACCCTCCTCATTAACTTCTATGGTGGTGGTTACTTTCCCAGCCTCCAAGGGGGGGACACCTCTTAATATGTCAGCGAAGGATCTTTGGCCACCAGGTAGAACTTGACCTCTGGATCTGTTGGTAGCAAAATCTCTAGTAATAATCTGAGGCTTTCTGATGAACTGAGTCTTACTCCTGCTGTGCTCCTCTCTGTTTCTTCTATCATAAGTGGCATTTTTGACTTCTAGAATCTTATCTTCCACCAGGAGACCATTAGCTTTTTGTATGGCTACATTTGCTGCAACACTACAGTCGAATCGCACGAAACTGAATCTGGAATTTGACACTTTTCTCCGTTTGAATGGGATGAAAACATCTTTCACTATGCCAAAGTTTGAGAAAAGTTTGTAGACTGATTTAGCATCCATGCTTGAAGGAATGTGATCCACAAAGACCGTAAAGAGGTCATGCACTGATTCCTTTCTATGCCCTCGACCACCTTTCCATTGACTGACCATCGGAATCCAACCACCATTTCTCTTTGACATTTTTTGATCCTTCGGCATAGGTGGTTAGGCACTTTAGTTAGCATTTTTCTGAGCATTGGATTCATAGGCCAAAAATGTCAGGCCCTTTTGCTACTATTAGCCCTGAGGCAGCAGTGAGTTTGGAAGATGTTTTTACTGAAGCTGAGATTTGGGAAGCAGCCCAAGACTGTAATGGGAACCAGGCCCCTGGTCCTGATGGCTTTAACCTAGCTTGCATTCAAAGTTGTTGGAAAATTATGAAAGGGGAAATAATTTAGTTGATGCATGAATTCCACACCAATGGAAAGTTGTCAAGCGGGATCAACAGTTCATTTATTGTTCTTATCCCCAAGAAGGACAACCCTATAGGTTTGGGGGACTACAGACCAATTAGCTTGGTTAGTTCAGTCTATAAAGTCTTGGCCAAGGTGTTATCTAGAAGACTCAAGAGGGTTCTTCCATGTGTGACCAGTGAGGTTCAATCTACCTTTGTTTGTGGAAGGTACATCCTAGATGGGGTGTTAATAGAAAATGAAGTAGTAGATAGGTGGAAGAGATCTAAAAAGAAGGGGATTATTCTCAAGTTAGACTTTGAAAAAGCATATGATTCAATAAATTGAGAGTTTGTAGTATCTATGATGAGAAACTTTGGATGTGGTGAAAAATGGATTAGTTGGATGAAGACTTGCATCTCAACTACTAAGATTTCCGTCCTAGTTAATGGTGCACCGAGGAATCATGATTTTGTTTCTAACCTGCACCAGTTTAGGCTATCTGTGCGAGGTGCCTAGGGTGTTATTGTGGAAGCTTCAACCGCTCTGTCTTGCTTCTGTGTTTTTAGTTTTGTGTTGTTTTTGCTTTGTTGGTTTCTCACCAACTGGAGCTTGGAGCTTGTTAGCTCCAAGCTCCTCTTTATTGATGTAATCTTCTTTTCATATATCTTTTGTCAATAAAAAAAAAAAATGGTTTACTTATTAAACTCAAGTGGCTAGTGGGCAAGTTCTTGGTTAACTACTAGCATGTGAAGGATGACCCAACTTCATGATTATGTGTATTTTTCCTTGATAAAAACAAAGGTAGGAGATGCAACCAACCATAACAATTCTTCTAAGGCGTGACCAAAGGATATCCGACTCATTGGGGAACTGGAGAAGAGGGCCTGACAACACGGGGTACCGTTCATGGGGGAACGTCATGAGCCCTTGCTTGATCATCACCCAACAATAGTCCTAGCGAGTGGAAACTGGGATCTAGGAAACAAGTCGGCCCCACAGAGCCGTAATAGTAGTAGAAATTGAAGTTTTGTTTGTGAAGAACCCCAGACCGAAACGGAATAAGACTTGTTGTACACAAGAAGAAATGGCCTCAATGTGCAGCCATCGTAGAACTTCACACACCCTTTTTCATTGGAGGGGTTGGCTGACGGAAAGACAGCATCATAGGCATTTATGTTCCAAGGGAAGTGAAGAAAGAGTGGGAGAAACAGCAGCTGTAAAAGCCAGCAGGCCATAGCCATGGGTATGTTTTTTAGTACAGTGACTCCTTTTCCTCTTCCTCTCTTTTTCTTTGGATTAAAGTTTATCTGCTTCTGTTAGTTACCCCAAAAAAGAAGTTTATCCACTTCTGCACTATGTAAAGAGGCTTCTTGTTTTGTCAGAAATAAAATCCATCAATAAAAGGCCTTTAGTGTGAATGCAACAGCCACTACATGCACTCTTCAGCAAATAATGCAGGTAGTGTGTCATTGTTGAAGGTAAAACCTCACATTATATAAAGGGATGAGGCTTCCCTCCAGTTTAGGCATGTTTTTGGCCCATTTCAGTCTATTTCCTTGATTCGTAGTGTTCATTTTTTAAATTTCCGAATCATGTTCAAGACAGTTTTTTTTTTTTTTTTTAAAAAAAAAAATTCCAAATCATTTGCAGTGTGCCATTGTTCCTTTTTTTTTTTTTCAAATCATGTTCATGACAATTTAGTGGGCTGTAAATAAAAAGAGAAAATGTCCAAAAGTTAAAATTTCCAAAACATTTTTATATATTTTTCTATATTTTCTACACATTTTAGTACACTTTATACATATCTACCGACATTAATGACAATAATGTGAATGATCATTTGCATTTTCTCTTTCTATTCTCCTAAACTCCTCAACCTCAACACGATGCTGTAAAGGCCTCAAAGAGAATCCATCCAAAGGGATTTGGGGATGTGTGTTTCACTCTCGCTCCAAACACATCAAAATTGATTGTCACTTCATTTGCGACAAAGTTGCTGCCAAGCTTATTCAACTCACATATGTTCCTACTGAAGCCCAGGTTGCTGATATCTTCACTAAGCCCTTGTCTGCTTCTCGTTTTCACACTCTTTTCTGCCAAACTCATGGTCTTTCCTTCGCGTATTTGTTTGCGGGGGACTGAAGAGAATACTGATCCTCAAGACATTCTGTAGATATTATTGTGTAACTGTTTTCTGGTACAACACAGGTTGAGTTAGCATTGAGTTAGTTAGGTACTCATAACAATTAGTGGTATAGTTAGTGCTAGTGCTGGGCTTGTCCAATATATACACTTGTATTACTGCCTTCATCAATAATAAAGAAAATATCAGGTTTTTCTACAGTTTTTATATTTTGAGTTAGGTCAGGCACCACCTTTTTCTACCCAACTAGTCTTATCTGAATTCACTTTTTTTTCTTTCCTCCTGTAAATAAAAAGACCCTCTAATTAATGAGGTTAACTTTGAAAAGGCCTTTAATTGTTGTTCCTACAAATTTCTTTAGGGCCATTTCCTCTTCACTTTGGAAGACAGTAATAAAGATGAGCGTTTTGAAAGTTTGTCCAAAATTCAACAACGAAAGTCCAATAAGATGGGCATACACTTTTGTATAAATAGTTCGTCCAAAATAAACAAAAAAATTAGGGTTTGACCCTTTTAACAAATAATTTTTAATTTCTTTAAATTTTATAACAATTTCAATCATATATCGCTACTTGAATTGAAGGGTTTTGAGGAAGATCTG